GGCAGCTTCACCGGGACAGAGATCGTGCTGTCTCGTACTTTGAGCGAGCAGTCCAAGCAACTCCAGACGATAGGTAAATATGAATAAGTTTCTTTTTATGAGATCGAAGATTGACTATTAAGATGAGAACTTCCATTACAACTGTACTGTTGAAAGGCCATTACTTGATGAGAAATTTGACCATCCATGTTCTTGAATTATGGTAAACTCTGCACATCTTTCATCATTAACTGACCAGTTTCTGTTCTACTTTTCTTTCACTCTCAGCAATGTTCTTGCATCCTACGCTAAATTTCTTTGGGAAATGGAGGACGACGTTGTAGAAAATATTGCGTGGGAAGCTGATAGCCACTTGCCACTCAATGGAACGAAAATCGCAGCAAATCCTTGGCAACCGATGAGTAGTAATTAATAGCCTGTCATTTTTCTTAGCTTCCTGTGGTCAATTTAAATTATAGTGTTCATCCATTATCTATAAGCAGTTGAGTAATCTCTGAAAATAAATTTAATGTACTTCTGAGTTCCCTACTTTCCGTCGCTCGGAAACATCGAAATTCAAATGACTTTTGATTGCATTTACTGTGGCTTTAATGAAAGTGTTGCTGAACGAGAAATTTGAATAAATAAATGTGTTCTCTTACCACTTTTAAGTTTTTTTTTTTATGAGGTGGTTCAATTATATCGGTCACTGAAGAATTGGATATGTATGTACTTTTTCTCTCTCCTTATAAAATAAGTAAGCACTCTACATTTTATACCCTCCTTTGTCTATTGTTGTTGGATTTTGTCCTAATGAAACAACAATATATGGAGCTGCAAATCTTAGCCCAATTATCCCTAATTTTCTAGAAATTCTAAACAATCTAAACATGCTGGACAAAATGCAGAATATATTGGCTGTGCACTTGAGGATCAAAAAATTTGTGAAGAAGGAAAAAGGATGAAAAGACAATAAGGATCCGTTTGATTGTAAGGGTGGAAAATGGGTGGAAAGAAAATGTTTTACAGGGAATTGATTTTCTTAGAAAATGTTTTACTAGGAATTGTAATTAATTGTGTTTGATTTGTATAATTTTCCATGGAAAATGTTGAAAATTTGGT